AAATGACCACAAAAAGAGAAAGGAAGAGGATGAAGGCAGAGCAGTCTGGGGTGTGCAGCAACTGAGTCACTGCAAGGGGAGGACACTCCTAAGGGGGCACGAGAGCCATTCCTCACGGGCAGGTGAGAGAAGGCAGGAGGAACACAGCACCAGTGGGGAAAGAATGTCACTGTAAGTGGCTCGAGTATATAAAACTTAGCCATAAAGGTGTCTGGGTTATGCAGAAAATTAGCTCAGGTTGAACATTTCATTCGCCGACATTCTACAGTAATTGTTTAGGCCCACTTTAACTTGTTCCTGCGGTAACGCTATGTCTAAAGAGCAGTGAAACCTGCAGACACTGCTCTGAGCTAACCACACACGTTATTTTGGGAAAATTAATTCTCTAAATAAGAGAAGTTCATCTATATTATCACTGAGGTTCTTTCATGACCTCAGACAAATTTTGGAAATTACTGACCAAAAGACTCTTTAAAGGAAAAATGTTGCCAGAGCAGACTTTAACTCTACTCTATGCATCTCTCCCCCACATTAACACTGCTGGGGAGACCATCGTGCCTCTACTCTGACTTATTTTAAGCAAATGATTCAAAAGCCCTTGTAATTTAACTACCATTAACAACACATATCTTGTCATGCAGCTTAAGATAAACAAAATACAAAAGTGCCCTGACTTAGAGGGATGCTCGAAAAATGTGTTTCTTTTGATTAAATTATACATGGCTGCCAAAGCCCTCTACTTTATTCAAGTAAGTTAGCCCTGGACTTACAAACATATATAAAAGAAAAAAAGCCCACAAAATTTCAAAATGCTCAAATCTTGACATCATTCAAATTCCATTAATTATATGCCAGAATTATCTATAAAAGAGTTTTTCCCTATACACACTTGTCTGGTTTCTTTGCACAATTTTCATGTCTTCCCTCTTTACTTCTTCACATTATCGAAGGAAAATGTCCTTCTGATGCAGTGAATAATTTTCTAAATATGAACTATTCATGTACACAGAGCAAGACTGTGAAGAGGGAGAAATGAAGCTAAAAGCGTCTCTAAGGTTACGTTCCAGAAAATATTTAAATGTTTAACAAGCAAAGAATCACTGCAATTATCAGATTCAAGACCTCTATGCAAATTTCTTCTAAAATATGGAGGGAAAAAAATCGCGCATCCCTCCTTCCAAGGCTACTGGGAAAGAGCAGTGACATCGCCCCATGGCCACTGGGGAGGCGCCAGGAGCAACGCTGCCCTGGGCTGGAGCGCCACCTGGTGGCTGCAGGAGACAACGACCACGGCTTCTGCCACCTTCATTCCCCGGGGTCAGAAGCAGCACCTGGGTGAGCCCTCTTCACCACAGGGACCCCCGCCGGGAGGCCTGAAAGTGAGATGTCTTCCCAAAGAAAGTGCCGCGGGGAAGTGAATATTCCCTTATATGTGGGTCTCTCCTAGAAACTTCTCTGAACTAATTTAGAAGAGAGTGCTGTCTGGGAAAGCACGGCAGACGGAATAGCCTCAGGGTGACCTAATGGAATCCTAGTGGGCGTAATATCAGGGACTTGTTTGTAGATACTCCAAAAAACAAAGAACAGCAAAGAAAAATAAGACGTGACGACGCGTGGACAGCACTCACGCCGAGCAATGGGCACTCGGGGCTCACGGGGCCGTCCCCACGAACGCTGGAAATCCTCAATTTTAAAGTTTTTGAGACACATTTAAACATAAAATATATACAACATATTTATTTTAGAATAAAACACATAAATACATACATATAAAGTAAAAATACACAGTTCAGATTTACTTCATCCCAAGGATATGTCTCAAATAATATATGAACTTCTTTCAAAAAAGCCTTTTAGGGCCTCTGCAGCAGTTAAACGCTGGGTTGCGAAGCTGCCCGCAGCCTCTGCAGCGCCAGTTCAATCCCAGGCTGCTGGGCGAGGATCCCACATGGCGCGACAGACCTCTCCTGCTGCAGGCTGCTCCCCTCAGCAGTGTATTTCGTCAGTCTGCCTGCTCTGGCTCTGGTGAATTCTCTCGCCCTCCCGCACTTCTGACTGTACCCAGTGCTTGTATAAATAAATAAATCTTTATTTAAAAAAAAAAAAAGCCTTTTAAAAAACTTCTTAAATATCTTGAAAAATCTAAACCTGCTTTCCAAAATTAAGTGTATTAATTTTTGTAAAAGCCATCTAAAGATTTCTTTCAAAAACAGGGGCCTCCCTGGTGGCACAAGGGGTTAAAGCACCGCACTATGAAGCAATCCTCAGACTCTGCAGCACGAGTTCGATCTCTTGCTGGCCTCTCAGCAGACCTCTCCTGTCTCGCCCGCTGCTCCCCTCAGCAGTGTATTTCATCAGTCTGCCTGTTCTGTTCCCCACTCTGTCTCTGGTGAATCCTCTGATCCCCTACATCTCTGGCCTGTACCCCAGCTCTTGTATGCCTAAATAAATAAATCTTTAAAAAAACAAAAAAGATTTCTTTCAAAAAGCACAGTAATTAACGCTGTGAATTCTCTACAAGCAGAAAAACTGCCCTGATGACATTTGCGGGGTGCCTGGCCCAGAGCCCCACCTCCCCCCGTTTCACCTGTGGATCCAGAACACCGTGTTGCCCACACTTGGCTTTCAGCGAGATGACGTGCTCTGGAACCTAGGCCAGAAAGTGGCCCTCGTGCTCCGGTCCCGCTCCTGCGTTGCCTGCCGCTAACTCCTGAACATGGGGCACAGCAGGAAGGGGAAACATGCAAAGCTTGGCACGAAGCCTGAGAACCTGCTCTGTTCACTAGACAGGGGGCGGCACACTCAGAAAAGGATGTCCTTGCCCAGATAGACGTTCTGGGAACCTAGTAAAAGCAGGCAGGTGTCCACGGCAGACAGCAAAGCCGTGGCACAAGCAGTTCAAGAGGGGTTCCAGTCAACACTGGGAGAAGAATAGTCAGAGGAGTCACAACCCAAGGGCAGCCGCTGCCCAACCCTCAGCCAGACCCGGGGTCTTCGGCAACGAAGGGGGTAGCTAGCAACGATGCCACCAGGGGCCCTCCCAGCGGGACACGGGCTACGGCCCAAGGCGGCCACAGAACGAGCAGGCTTCCTGTCTCTCCCTGCGCACTACACGCATCGGGGAAAAGAGGGATAGGCATATATAATCCCCTAAAATTAAGTCAAATTTCTTTTAATTCTATAATAATACAAATGTGGAATTACAGATGCACACATATGGACATAAAACCACACCCTATGCTCACCCTCCAGTGAGAGGAAACAGGGGCATCTTGTAAGCCCACATTTTCAGTGCATGGAGAACTCCTCCAACGGAGCTACTGGCCAAGGCTTAATTTCTTGCTGCTTAAATTGTGGGGGGGGGAACGGGGGGGACCCTCACCGGCGGCCGGGGAACGAACCGGCGCTGCAGAGGCTGTGGGCAGCCTCGCAGCCCAGCACTCAACCGCGGCGCCACCAGGGGAGGCCCACTGCTTAAATATTTTATCAAGACAACTGCCTGGATTCAGTCACTAGATTTAACAGGAGAGAGTCTCATTCCCACTGAGAATAATGTTGAGTCATTAAAGACCCTTTGTTAGAGAATTTTTTAAGGTCATGGTGCACTGTTAGTGACCCCCGGTTATAGGGGTACCGGCAGCACCATCACTTGCATCCTCCCGTGGGTGCTACTGCTGATTCCTCTTCACATTTCTGTTGCCTTCAATCTTTCTTGCCTGTTTCAGAAAATTGTATGAAGCAGGAATACAAAACAAGCTTTTCTGCCTATGATCACAGAAGCTATCCAAAATAAGACTCTTCTTCCTAACATCCTCTTAGTAAAAGGGAAAAATCTGTGTGGTATGAGCAGAAACTGAAAGCTGGATGGAAGGTGTCTTGGACATTTATATCTGAACTTCACTCTGTATGAATCCATTTCTCAAAGACATAATCCCACCTCCTCTTTTTTCTGTGGGGAAGACAGAACGACTTTTGTGTTCCCTGACTGAGGTCCCTCTCTCTTCCCCAACCTCCCGGTCCCAGCTAAGCTAAGGTCCTAGCTAAGATGGCATCCGACACCTGGGTGAGTGACTCGGGCATGCTGGGCCTTCCCCACGCCTGCAGGAGGTACACATTATTATCACCCTTCTATGTGGCTTTTTCTCTTCTCAATCTGTGTGATGCTTATTTGGTTATTTGCCAGCCTAGAAGCTCCCCAAGGGTACAGGATTCCTCTGCACCCGCATCAGTCTTCTTTCTCTCAGCAGTGTTTCATAACGGTCAGCATTCAGACCCTGCACATCTTTCATCGTATTTATTCCTAAGGATTTCATATTCTTGATGTTACTGTAAATGGTAGTTTTCATTTCAATCTCCAACTCCCTGTTGTTCACATGTAGAAATACAGCTGACTTTTGTATACTGGTGTGATGTCCTGCCCCCCAGCTCAACTCTAGTTAGAGTTCTAGCAGCTTCTTGTAGATTCTGCTGGATCATCTACATAAACAAGTCATTTGTGACCGAACCAATTTTATTTCTTCAGATAAATAAATAAAAACTAACCAGGGATACATTTCTCACACACTGTCAAAAAAGCCAAAGTTTGCTACACATCCTGTGGAGAAAGGCACCCCCACGTGTGAATTATTTCAACTTACATTATATATCATGAGATTTTATTCCTAAATTCTTGGGCATACATCTCTGAAAAACAAGAGGTGCTTCAAACAAGATACAAAGTCATCAGACATCAGAAAACTAGCAGTGATTCACAAACATCATTCAACATCTGGTCCTTATTTGCACCTTCCCATTCCTAGCCCGGAAGCTGGTGTGCCTTCTAGGTTCATCTATTTAGTCTCATAATTTTAGATTTTCCTTTCCAGTGGATAAAGTGCATCCCAGAACTTGGGAAACCACAGGCATGACTCATTGACAAAAGTTCAACAATTTACATGGAAAAGACCTACTTAACAGGTAAGAAAATGGCATAAGAAGATAAAACATGTAATGAAAGGTACCTCAGTCTTCCCACATTCATCAGGCGGATCCTGGTGTATGGCCATTTGATACTTGACATATAAAGAAAATGACTGGCTGAAGGACGACTTGAACTCTGGGTCCTCAAAGGAGACAGGTACTAACCTCACCTTCAGAGCAAGGAAAATAGAAGCAAACGCTATTGAAACACCTCTACCTGACGATGTGCTTCTGAAGGTGAGGCTAGAGTAAGATCTCCGCAAATCCGCTTCCAAAGCTCAGCGCTGGGACTTTTCATGAATCAGATAGACCCTGGAATAGATTGACTGGCAGAGCCTGAGCGCTGATTTTATACTAATATTGATGAAAATTTAACTCGTTGGGGTCAACACAATTTATTTTGCTTTATTTTGGAGTTTTCTCTAGCACTTGCCCCAGCTCACTAGTGCCAGTACTGCTGCCAATGGCAACGGTCACTACTTCTGTCACCTCTACTCTTATTAGGTATTTTAAGCTTTCCCTCTTCAGGATTTTTCTTGGTTAAGCTGATGTGTAAGTTTATAAGTGCATGAGGGGCTCTAGGAGTCATTCTCCTATCTTCCTTTCCTAGTCCCACTCAGTTGCATGTGGAGAGTCCATCAACACAGAGGAACTTAGCTTTCTACACATGATGTCTGAATAAAGTATATGAACAGGCTGTGTAAAATATGCCTACTATAAAAATATTTTTTTTTGTTCTTTCACCGTAAATATTTTAACTCTATTACTTCTAGATAAAGGCAGCCAAACGTAATGCCATTAAATAGAGATCATTTATTTTAGGTGTTACTTTGCACTTTGAAATTACATATGAATGGCACTGAACGTGGCCCTAGGGAAAATCTGCACTTTCAGAAAGTCCATCCCCTCAGAACCCTCTCTCCTTGCAGATACGCTGCAATTTCAATATAAATAAAATGTACCACAAACATACCAAGAATTCATACAATGATATCAAGTGGATATCATCTGCGCAAAAAAAATTACACATGGCCTCCTGACCTGGCTCACAGTTGGCTTATCAGGTGGGTCCTTGTGAACAACCATCTGGTAACGTTTATAGACCTGGAAAGACTCCTGAAACGTGGCTTTGAACTGAGAACTTGGTGGAGATGATCTCACCACCCTCACCTTCAGAAGGAGTTAAAAAACAATGCTCATTAATTCATTTACTCATTTCACAGATTTATTCATTAACAGTTACACCCACCCAACAAGAACCAAAATTTCAACACAAATATTAAAGCATACATGGATAATAGTACTTTAACATTAAAAATCAACCAGTTAGTAAGTAATGGGGGAAAAAAAGCTACTTCTCCAAATTATAGACACATCAAGAAGGTAAAGGGCCCTGTCTAATTCTAAGATTCAGCTCAATAACTGAACCAAGCCCGCTCTCCTGTGCAATGGCATAACACTTCCGGCACTCACGACACCAAATGCCAATGAGTATTCTTTAATCATAGCTGTATACAACTCACCTTCGGTCCATCATCCAGGAAGACTTAAAATGTAAAATAGTTCTTGAACCCTCTTTCAAGCATTGCTGCTAACTCTCAACTTACAACTTATTTTATTTTTACGAGCATAAAACAACAATTCTCACAATGTGAGAATTTCCTGTACTCAAATGTTGATCAAGATAGTCTCCATCTTGGTCATGTAAACAAGTGAACTCAGTATACCTTAAGTTTGCTCACAGGTAAAATGTGAATGAGTTCAAAACAGTAATTGCACACAGTAATGGCTAACATTGATTTTAACATTATTTACTCCAGTTAAAATGTGTTAGCAAAACAGAACAATAAAACAGAAAATCAAATGAAATACAATAAAAAGATATAACTGGAAATTCTTCATGTGTGCCATGAGAAGCAATTCTGTAAAGAAAGAGTGACACCCCTGTGGTGGTTTTCATTCTGGCACATTTGTTAAGTTTTCAAATGGGCCTGATTCTGCCACAGATATTGCATAGGAGCTGGTAAAGGCTGGATGACAAAGCGATCTTTCTCTAGCCTTTTTCCACATCAGAGATTGGCTCCCACATGTGAAAAAGAAAAAAAAAAAAGAAAGAGTGACACCCGGGGGATCCCAAATGTCCATCTACCCTGAGTGTCAGTAATTGAAAAAGCAGAAGCTGATTCCCTGGTGCGTGGTGCCGTGAATACAGCACGATGTATGATCAAAAGATAAAACTACTCAAAAAAATATTTTATGTAGTATGTTCAATTCTCTTGAAAATTTTGGAATGAGAAACTCATTTTCAAAATCATAGTGGCCAAGGAATTATAAGTGTCAAGTTGTTAAAACTTAGGTTTGAAAATTTACACTGTCCTAGACCTTAAACCTCATCCAAGTTAATTTTTTAAAATCAGGCCTTTAGTGATAAGTGATATTCTTACGATATTAAGCTATAAATTCAAAGGCTGACCAGTTACTAATCAGGTATGAGAACATGATAAAATGACTAGGGCTAATGTTTTAGGAAAGCATTTTATAAATATCAAACTAATACTGAAAAATCTAGATTTACTCTGGAAATATGAATCAATTTGGGAATCACAATTTTGCTAACTGGTTTGGGAAACTGAAGAAAAGGTTACAGTAGTGCAAATTTAGTACTAGTTATTGCCAACTGCTGGTTTGCACCAGCAGCCAAAATAATACCATTTGCCGCCTTAATCAAAATCATATTATTAGAATAGATAAAATGATTTGCCTGTTATGATCTATTCTTTCACTGTCTAAATCAAAACTGTCAAAAATAGTCTTTAAAACAGTAAATTTTCTTTTTTGCTTTAAATATTTCAAGAAATATAAAAAGTCAGAGTATCTTACATAAAAACATGCTAAAACTAAAGATGTTTGAAACTTGAGCAGTCAAATGCCTATTTTTTAATTTTAAGTTTCTCTTAAGTAGCATAACTCAGTTAATATCTACAAATGCTACTCCATTCCAATACTGTATTTTCCCATTATTTAAATAGCAACGCATCATCTGATCAAAAAGACTAAAATAATAATAAACAACACGCTCAACAAAAAACAAACAAAACACCACCCTCCAAGATACCTCTAACTTGTGCGATGCATTCACTGGTAAAGATTCAAAAATTAAATCTTCAAGCGATTTGGGCTGATTGGATTTAGCCTTTGGTGGGCACAAAGGTGGTGGTCCTCGCTGAGCCTGGCAATCCTCTGGTCCTCCGCCTGGATTCTGCTGCATGAGTTTTAACCTTTTCCTTTCTTTCCGGATTTCCTTTGCTTTCCGACATGGAGGCTTACTCAAATCCGCCCCTTTGCCTAAGAAGAATTTCAAAATATTATTTTTTTTTCCCAAAAGTCTCAAAGACTCTATAGATTAAGTCCAAAGAGTTTCAAGTGCTAGGCTGGCTTTGGGTGAAATGTTTCAGAGGATCCTGGTGCAGGGGGTCTAAGTTGATCTTTAAGTCCTCCCTTTAAATTACCATAGAAACTTTTGCTGCAGCTCTCATTGCAAAAAATATTTATTGAAAAATATTAATTTATTTCTCTGCCTTTGTATGCAAAAAGGACATCATCAAACATCTTCCACTTCAGGTCACTGTTGTCTCAAGCCCATTTTTAAGGGACAATTCTCTGAAAGCAGTGACAGACAAATACTCAGGAGCCAGGTGAGTAAGTGAGCTCTGATCCCATAACATACACTGGTGGGATTTTGTATGAAAAAATATCCTAGCTGAGTTAAAAATATTCTCCTCCTGAGGCGGTCACATTAGTTTGGCTCTAGCCAAACAGTTTGCTTTGATCAAGAGAGCAAATATCTGATACTTATTTAAAATACACAAATTATAACTATTATAAACAACAAATTTTAGTGAATGTCTTCACTCTGCTAAGTCATTCAAAGAATCTATCTGGAGAAAATCATGAGGTGGAGGCAAATAACAAACACAAAAGAAAACCTCAAAATAATCTAAATGCCCAACTACAGACTGGCATAACTTTTTAAACAGCTAAGCAACAAAATAGTTTGGTCATTAAAAATGCTTTAGAAATGTTATGGATTTTGTTATTATACATTGTTAAAAGTAGTAATTCCAACTGTATATAAGTCAGTGGCAATAGTGGTGAGTTCTTATGGGAAATAAACAAATGAGGGAAGGCTCCTTCTGTGGAAGTATTCCTGTCAGTCAATGAAAATGATGGATTGATGGATCTGATGGATTCAGGCGTTGGGTAGCCACAGATATCAGCCCTAAAAGTGAGGTACCCAGACACAGTGGCCCTGAAAGAACCACTCACCAAGCTTACTTTGTCTCCCGAGCAAGAATAAAAACATCTAGCACTAGACCTTTGTCACTGATAGAACTTTGACTCTCCAATCTCTAGAGCCCTACAGCAGTAAGATGAAATAGAACTCTTTTAAAATGTCTGTACTAGGGGACAATACGACTATTATTTCAAATTTTTGAAACATTCAGCACTTTCAAAAAAACTAAGACCTATTGTCTTAGTTCAGGAAATAAGTCATATAAAACAGGGATCTATATTAGAGATTTCATGAGTAATCTTTTTTTTTAAGTTGGGGGAGGAAGGGATTATTATACTATATGGGGATTATTATACTATATATTAATAATAATGTTATTATTATTATTACATATACTATATTATTATACTATATTATTATACTATATTATTATACTATATCTTAGGCACAAAAAAAAAAAAAAAAAGAATCATTTACTATGACTTCAATAGGGCCTAACAGCAAATGCTCACACCTGGCTTAGGGACTGCATGCACTTTAACTGAAGGTGATGGTTCGCCAGAGCCCAATTTCTCTTTTATATCTTCTGACTGAATTAACTCATTAGATTCTTCCTTCTTGGAGCTTTTGCCTTTCTTCTTCTCTTCACTCTGTAAGCTCTCTTTGAGGTCATCGCTGAGTGTTTTTAGGTCACACTGTATATCCAATTTATTTATTAATGCAAAGTCACCAGCAACAGCGTCTTCAGCAGTGGGCTCCATGGGCTCGTCTATAAATCAAAACAAGTCAAAGTTCACCAGCCAGGTTAAGTGACACAGTTAAGACACATAATGGTGGGCCTCCCCTGGTGGCGGAGCGGTTGAGCACTGGGCTGCGAAGCTGCCCGCAGCCTCTGCAGCGCCGGTTCGATCCCCCGCCACCAGCGAGGGTCCCACATGGAGCGCAGACCTCTCCTGCTGCCCGCCGCTCCCCTCGGCAGTGTATTTCATCCATTTGCCTGTTCTGTTCCCCGCTCTGGCTCTGGTGAATTCTCTCACCTTCCCGCGCTTCTGATTATACCCAGTGCTTGTATAAATACATAAATAAATCTAAAAAAGAAAAAAAAAGAAACATACTGGGAAAAATGCCCCCTTCATCAATGTCAAGTGGAAGAAATGACTGTGTGTCCACCAATCCAGTCTCCTGGCTTCCAAAGCAACAGAGGGGGACGCTCTGCCACAAGCTGAGACCACTCTCCTGCCAATGGAATATAACCAAGGCTGTATGTCCAGTTCTGCCTAACTTGTTTTAAAGGAGATTTGTGACCCGGAGGTTACACCCTTTCTTCTCCTCATTGGCTGGAACACTCAAAGCCAGAGCAACCTTGCAAATCACAGGCTGAACTCCAGAACGGCTGGTGGGCAGTAAAGCTACAGGCAGACCTGGGACACCCACACAGGAGTATAATATGAGGAAAGAGCCAGATTTCTGCTGTCCCTCAGTCTCTGCATTTTGGTCTCTCCTTGTTATAGGTGTTTAGCCTTTTGCCACCATAATAAGTACACCACCCCTATGAACTAAATTTCAGATATAAATAATGCAAAAGCCCATAAGTCAAGTAAAGAACCAAATGCAACAGCTACCTAAAAAGACTGTCAACCATCAATTTGCAAATGTATAGCGTTGTATCAAAGAGGACCTGCATATTAATTTTTAACTCAAAACATATTCCCAGCCACTGAAAAAAAATTTGCACTGACCAACCAATAAAATCTATTTAACTTTTAAGATTAGGAACAGAAAATACTAATAAAAGCCGCATAAAATTGTGATGTTTCCAATGCTCCAATTGGCCCCGATCCTCTAAGACCCTGAACCTTCTGAGCTATGTTGTGCCTAGCTCGGCCAAGTCTGCTCCAAGTTGTCCTGAGTCCTGGTTCACTAAGGGCTGTACATGAGGGCAAAGAACTTAACTGTCCTGCTGACCAATGTGCTTAACATAGGGACTAGGACATTGCAGGCACTCAAAATACACATGTGAAATGAATGAACAAGCTAAGATTCAGGGGGAAGGCGGAGGGTTGGTTCCCAGGATTAGGCATTGCCTATGGCAGTAGGGAGAGTGAGTTCCAAGAGTGAGTGGCATTCCTGATTCTTAGGCTCATGGGGTAGGCACTGCCAACAGAACAACTTAAAAAAAAAAATAGTAAAGACACTAAGATAACAAAGTATACGCAACCAAAGGGAATTAATTGTTATTGTCTTTTTAAAAAATTTGCTCAAAATTTATCAAGAATTTCAGGTAAAATACTTTAAAATATATTTAAATATTTAAAATCTAAAAGAATTTCAGGTAAAATAATTTACTGAAGGAAAGCCTGACTCAAATACAGAAAATATGTACATTGAAAGTCACTGTGCAATATCGTATAAATTGCATCTAAGGAGCTTTTTCTCCAAAGATAGTAACACTTTCTATTTACTTCATAGGCTCTTATTAGGGACCACGTAAAATAAGAGCTGTCAAAGCAACTCAAGAAATAAAATCTCGATACACTTCATGAAATCTGATCTTTAAAATGGTTCAAAATCCTCTTCCCGGGCCAGCCATTCTCTGTAGCCTTGACATTCCCAGTAGCCTTGACTTGGGAGCCAGAGGTGGCAGAAGCAGCAGTGCGAGCAGTGCTCACTGTCATGAAGTAACGGCACAACCAACCACAGGAAAGGATTGAAAGTGAGAATTTTCGGGAAAAGCAACAATTCAAAAAAGCAAATAGCTTTTAGATCCCATCTCTTACCCTCACAATTTCCTCTCGAAATTTCCCCTTTAGCCAGAAATTTCAACATTTTTTTCAAAACCTTCTTGTGAGATTTTGATGGCTGAAACTGTAATGGTCGGCACCTAGGAGAGCAAAATAAAATATTTAAAAAAGTGAACTCAAAACTCAGAAGTAAAACCAGTCCCAGGTAGTGTCTAAGAAAATAAGGCAAAGTACACACCTGAGAGTTCTTGGTCAGGAAAGGCTTAAAGCAGCCTCAACTCTCACCCCAAATCTCATTAAAACTACAGTTAAAAGGAAAAAACATAAACCACCAAGAAAAAGAGAATGTGAGAAAAGGCTGGAACTCAGAAAGCAGATGGACAAGTGGTAAAGATCAAAGAAAGTTGAATCCTAAGTCAACAGTGGGAAAGCCAAGTGTTACCCAATTTTTTCTGTATAACCCCACAAAATCTTAGGGATTGCTGGGACCGAGTACGTCAGATAATATGAGTGAAGGGAAGTCTAAAAACAGAATGCCAGGAAAACCTTTTTTTGGTTCAGAGAGATGTCATACCCACTCCCCACCCCTCACAGATGAAATCTACTTAGATTCAGCAGAAAACTGCAAATCTTAGAAAGAGTAAAAAGTAGGGTTTTTACATGGGGGGGGCGGGGAGGGGTTCAAGGCACAGCTGAAAGCAGTGATGTTGCACTGAAAAGAGGAAATTTAAATCCAGGCCGGCCTCCAACTCACTTCCCCAATCCAGCTGGAGCACCAGCAAATGACACGTTCTCTCCAGAGTGTGAGCAGACCTGACAGGCTATCATAAGGGACCCCCAGTGGAACAGCCTGGCCAGGTTACTCTGCCTAGAGCCCACAGAAACAAGACCCCGGGGTACACAGGATTCCCAAAGCGACCTTGGAAAATTGAGTCACCAGACTCTTGAGAAGGGTCAGGGACCCTGAAAACTGGGGAGAGAAAATTGGAGAATGTAGAGTATCTAGGAAAAAGAGAACCTAAAAAAATTAAAATATTCTCAGAGAAATCTTTCCTTGCTGTTAAGCTACCACCCATACAGCAGATGCGAATTTAAAAAAAAGAAAAAAGCCCAAAAACCAAAAGCCCTCTCAGAAGAAAATACGGTAGAAAACAGAAATGAAACAAAAGACTTGAAAAATGAAGCTCAAAAGATCAGCAAAAAATACATAAAAAGAGGAAAGAAAAAGCAGAGGACCAGTCTAAAAGTTTCAATGTGTGGAAAAATGACAAATACATTAAAGAAAGAAAATGAAAAGAAAAGATCAACAAAATAATTCACAGAAACGTCCCTCTGAAGTTCATGAAGGACATGATGGGAGCTGTACCCAGAGAACAGCCCTCGAGTCTGTGCGCAGTGAATGACAGCAGACACGAGGCAAGCACTCTGTGAATATCAGAACATCAAGAACAAAAAAGCTTCCAAAGAGAAAGAACACGTTTTGGACAAAGGAACAAGAACCAGAATGCCACTCCCCGGCAGGAACGCTGGAGCAAAGCCTTCCAAGTTCTAAAGGAGAGTGATTTCCAACCTACCCCTCCGTACCCAAACTATAAATTAAGTTGTGAGTAGTAAATTAAAATATTTTCAGACATGCAAAGTCTCAAAATTTTTACCTCTCCTACATGTTTTTCCTCAAGAGTTATCAGAAGATGTGCTTCACTGAAATGACGGAGGATTGCAAGAAAAAGGGCACAGGGGACAGCTTAAGAACCAAAAAGAATCCCCAGGACGACACTCAAGACAGAGGCCAGGAGGAATTAAGTATTATCATTACCTAAGCAGGTTAAAGATAGGGTGGGGAAAGCCAAAAGAAATCATTTAAAAGATTTGAAGGTGACCACACAGGAACAGGATGGGGGGGTGCCAGGGACTGCTACTTAGCAAAGTAAGTTTGATGGGACTATTTGATTCTTTAAATTAGGTGCATATATAATTCTAATGAAAACTAAAACAAAAACAAAGAAACAAAAAAACCCAACAACTCACAGCCAAAGAAGCTCATCCTAATTCATACTCACAATCTGGTCCGCCGCCAACGTCTACCTAACAAGAAGCTAAGCTGTAGGTCACAACTTCCTTGCCCTTATTAGGTCTCATTGGAACTACTGTAGCAAGCAAAGTAAAATAACCAAAAGAGTCAATGTGCAAAATGATTCCTTAAGATCAACACATATGCACTGAAGTTAGGGAGAGAGGAACAGTTCAGGAAAGGTCTGACTCCATGCAAAATAATGAAAACATCACATTTAGTCATTACTTTGTTTTGCCAAATTAACTGAGTTCTTTTTCAAAAAAGCAATATATTTAAGATAGTGCTTTGCAAGTAACAGGCACTCGATAACTTATAGATGCTCTTCTCTCTTTAACTCATGAAATTGGCCTTTTCTGATTATAGATTCTCAGGATTCAGGGCAACAGAATTATTTCAACAGAATCCTGGCCATAATCCAATCATAAATTGCTCTCTGGAGGAAAATGACTTCCGCCTCTGTTGAAGGCTCTTCTTCATAACCAGCAAGCTGAAAAAGGACAGCTCAGGACTTGGTCATTTTATCCTCTGTATAACGAGAGGGTGTCAGCGAGCCAGATACCTGCCTCTTTTCTTTGGGCTCTGCCAATCCTATGTCCAGCTAGATAAGAAAAAGAATTCTTAACCAGGAATCAACAGGATTTTGGAAATCTGTGATCATCCTAAAATGAATACATATAACTTCTCTTATTTTTGTCTTCATGCTCCCTCTCGTATTCTTTTGTTTTGTTGCAGTAGTCTATAACTTTCATCAAGCTCTCAAAACAGACTACAACCCAAGCACAAGAGTTAAGGGCAACTTAGGTAGGGAGAGAGCCTCAGCAACTCGTCACCAGAGTGACAGCTACAACTGTGTTACCTTGCTACCTGGAGTATCAACCCACTGAAGCTGACAAGCGCCTACCCTACTCTCTACCCAAGGCTTCAAAGGGGAGGCAGCTCTTCAGAGTCAGAGGAAAAGGAAAAGCCTCATACTAGGATGGGGTGATGGATGCAAGGAAACCCAAAAAATTATGAAAAGTTAAGCAAACACTCTAGAGGAAAAACACTCTTCTTAATTTAGATCTTACAATGAAGAAAATAGATGTGGCAGATTAAGTGTCAGCCCTCTTCCTCCTCCTACAGAGCCTGCTAGAATAGTGTCAAGTTTCACACTAGCATGGACAAAGACCTAAGCTATTTAGCTCTAAACTAAACCCTACATAAATCTGACATCTAAAAATAATCTGAGCATTTACCATTATTTTCCCAATATTCCATGGTACCACTGATGAAACAGCTGAATAGTTATTTTTTCTTATCTATACCCAAACCAATTAAAATGCATTAATGAAGGGCCTCCCGGGTGGCGCAACAGTTGAGTGCTGGGGTTGCGAAGCTGCCCGCAGCCTCTGCAGTGGCGGTTCGATCCCCAGCCCCCGGGAGAGGGTCCCACATGGCACGCAGTCCTCTCCTGCCACCCGCTGCTCCCCTCAGCAGTGTATTTCTTCGTCAGTCTGCCTGTTCTGATCCCTGCTCTGGCTCTGGTGAATTCTCTCACCCTCCCGCGCTTCTGACTGTACCCAGTGCTTGTATAAATAAATAAATAAATCTTTAAAAAAAAAGAAGAAGAAGAAATGCATTAATGAAGGCCATAGATTAGCATACAAGTACATATCAGTATGTAAAAAAGAAATAACCCATTTGCTTCTCCTTACCATCAACACCTACCTAGAATGGAAATTGCCACTTAAAAAAAAGATTCTACTAAAAATTATAAACAATCTTCCTATCAGATCACTTACATATATTTCTATTAATCAAATACTTAAAACACTTTATTACTCAAAATCCTTACCTTATTGTATACTGAGGACAGCATGTTTGATTCATGACAGGTTTGTACACGTATTTCCCACTTCTAAAATTAAAAAATAATTGTTAATTTCTTACATGCACCAAAGGAGATTAGCACAGGAGCACATTAATTAGAGCAAAAATCTAATCAAAATGTAAAAACACTCTTAAGATTTGATAACTCTTCATAAGTGGAACAATCTTGCAAAGCCGGCACACGAGGGACCAGAACCCAGAGTCCCTTTCCTAAACCTTTATGTCTGCACTCCAATGCTAACCATCTCCTCAGCGTCTGCAATCCCTTCTGTGACGCCGCTGACCGCTGCTCCTCAATGCCATAAGGGCAATCAGAGAAAATGGCCCAGGATGCACTGACTGATGTGCGCAGCTGGCCGTGACATGCACCAGCACAAAGTACCCGCAAACTAACCTGATCCTTTCCATGCCTTCTAGATCCCCACTAATAACAGAATAATGATTTTATGGGCTGCATTTTGTCCCCTCAAAATTTATATGGTGAAGCCCTAACTCCCAGTACCTCAGAATGTGACTGTTGAAACAAAGCTGTTGCCATGAGCCCTAATCTAAACTGACTGGTGTCGTCAAAAAAAAAGGAACACACAGAGGAACACACAGAGACACCAGCGATACCTAGAAATAGAGAAAGAACATAAACATTCAGCCCACTGCAGGGAGCATGAGAATTAGTGGAACTATAGTGGCAAATGTTAAGGACTACTAAAGCTTATTAGTGAATGCTCACCAGGCTCGTTAAGCTGAAGTTTCCCAATAAACATCTCTAAGAGAGATCCTTTCTATTCTATAAAAGAATATAATAAAAACTTCTTAAACCTCTTCCCAACAAAAAAAGAACATTGTAAAGGAAGACAATATTTTTCAATCGTGAGAAGAACCTGAGTAAGAGTAGACATATCTTTGTAGTAAGGAGTTATACCTTCGCCATCCTCGGTCAATAAGATCCTGATAATCCTGCACTGTCATGGAATGCGCCCACATCCCTGAAAAAGCAAGTGGTATGTTAACTATAGCAGGCTGAATTTTTCACTTGTTTAAAGCAGTGTTTTTTTTGAATGTGAATGCTTAGGCAAAAAAAAAATCTAATTCACACTGGAGAAACGGAAGTTTACACACACTTGGCATAACATACAAGAAATGGGAACTACGTTTACTTCAAGCCAAAAAAATTAAAGACATCAAAGTGATCATTTAATTCAGGATTAGGCAATAGCTTTTATGACACCATAAATGTTAGCCCTCACTGCAAACAGATTAGACATAACCTCTAAACCACAAAACATCCTCAATAATTGAATAAGCAAATCTTCTCAGAAAAATTAGAAAGCAAATGTTTTCTTGCGTATTTAAATTCTCTTGGTTTTTACATATTTGCAGCATAGCCTTGAAAACTGAGAACATGACGAAAGTACATACTATTCCTTTTAAGCCTAAAAACTGAAAATAACCCAATGCCCAGGAATAGGGAAATGATGGCAGGGACTATGATGTCATTGATACAAGAAGATCATTTTGCAACCATGAAAACAATGAAGAATGCAGAAACATTTAAAGGTATATTTGAATTAATGTGAAAAGAAAAATGAGCTTTTATCTTGCAAGCTATAAGCTGCATCAGAAGTATGTAAAGGTACATGTTGAGCAGGATGAGAAAAGAGTACAATGAAAATCAAACGTCCAGAAGCCTAGAGGTGACCATCAACGCCAACAAGTTCTTCCATGAGCCTCAATTTCATCATTTGTAAAACAGGAATAATAAAAACTGTCCACCCAATAGGTAAGGTGCCCAATAACAGAGATTATTAGAAATAAAGTAAAAATTATACAAATTTACAGTTATGTCTAGGTGACAAGCTGAAGGCAGATTTCATTAGGACTTTAGTCAGAATCAATATTAATTCTCTTGCTAAAATTAATGGAAAAGTATATTTACCGATCTACTAAAATACTGATTTTAGACACGTTTACTAGGACTCGTTGATTACATATACATTACAGCAACAAAACTAAAATTCTGACAAAGAGAAAGGAGAAATCTAATACCCTCAGGCAGCCACTCTTCCCACTTAGTAGAATTCTCCTGAGTCTCTTTTTCCCTGGGAGCTGCAATTATGTCATCTGCCTCCTGTCTCTTTTCTCCCTTTAACCTTTACCCTCTGGGAACCCTTTTGCCCTAACTCATCTTCCTAACTGCCATGCCTAATGGCCACATTATACTGCACCACTCCCTCTCACTCCAAGAAGCACTTAATAACTGTAATGAGTAAACGGTCACGCCATAAACGCCCATATCATTCCTCTACGGTTGAGAAATTATACTTTTTTTTTAAATGAAACACGAAATTTACATCTCCGTGGACACCCCATTCCCCACAAGTCTGGATGACTCTTTCCAGGAGGAGATTCTGCCTCTGCCAGAGCCGGACAGGGCAGGAAATAACATGAGGTTTTGTTGCCCAACAACTAGTCTCACAAAAAAAAAAGGCCCCCTCAAGGATCGGGGTGGGGTGGGGTGGGGGGTGGGGTGTGGGTGGGGTGGGGGGCACCCTGAAAGCAGGCTGGTGCGCCGTCCTCGTCCGGGGGTGGAGAACGACACGGCCCCTGGGGAAGGCTCAACAAGGGGGTGCGGAGCCGCCCTCGCCCGCCCGCGGCCGCCCCGGGCACCGGTGCCCGCTGTCGTCCTCCAGGCCTCGCCCCCGCGGCGACCGGGCGCACCTGAGCACACCTTGGCTCCGGGTCCCCACCCCGCGCCGGCCCCCCAGGGGGGCTCCCCCGCGCACCCCGCGCGCAGGTGAGCCGGCGCCCCCAGCGGGTGCCCGGCCGTGCCCGTTTCCTGCCGACGGGCACCGGTGTGGAGACTCTGCGCCGCGCAGACCCTCCCCGGCCGCCCGCGCCAGCACCCGGCAGGCGAACAGGCCCCCGGAGCTTCTCGCCCCCCGACCCGCCGCCGCGCCGCGAGCGCCCCCCGAGCCGCGTCCCGCCTCCTCAGGCCGGCAGCGGCCGCGGCGGGCGGGCGGGGGCTGCGGGGGTCGCCGCGGGCGCGCTCACCGTGGGAGCGGCTCCCCGACTCGCTCTTGCAGTAGCCGCAGCGGTAGGCGTCCTCGCCCTCGAAGTACTCCACGATGCTGGGCGAAAGAGCGGCCCAGGCCGCCATGGTGCCGGCCCTCCAGCGCCGCCGCCGCCGCCACCCCACAATGCCCCGCGCCCGCCGCGGCTCCCCGAGCGGCGCGCGAAGCCGTCCCGACGCGGCCGGCCCGGCCTGGCCCGGGCCGCGCGGCGCTGACGCCGCCCGCGCCATCTTGGCCGAGGGCAGCCGTCCGCGCCTTCCCTGCCTTCCCCGAGAGGAGCCGCCATCTTCGGGGAGGGGGGGCGGCGACACGGGGCGCGGAGCGGGCTGGGAAGGAGCCAGCGGGCGCCGGCTGCGGGCCGGGCGGCCGGGCGGCCGGGCCTGAGCGGCCCCCAGCCCGGGCGGCCCGGCCGCGGCGGGTGCGCAGGGGCGGCGGCAGGCGGCGCGCCGGCCCCGCCTCACCGGGGACACTCACCGCAGGACGCCTTGCCCTCCTCGGAGTCGCAGTAGCCGCAGCGGTAGCCGGCCCTGAGCCCCTTGTACTCCACCACCGAGGCCATGGCCGCCGCCGGGAGCCGCGCCGGCCGCCCCGCCCCGCCCCTCGGCGCCCGGGGCCGACTCGGCGGAGCGCGGGGGCCCGCGGCGGGGAGGCGAGCGGACCCGGCCCGCGCCGCCTCCCGGGGCGTCAGCCGGGGTGGGGGTCGCGCCTGCGGGCCCCGAGTTGGGGCGCCCCCTCGGCGGAGTCTGTCCCGGCCCGCCCCGGCGCGCGCGTCGTCATCCCTGTTTACAGATGAGGAAACTGAGGCACGGATGTGGGGACTCGGGGCACAGTCGTGTCTTGCGAGGCTCAGCTCCAGCGTGAGCATTGCAGCCCCCCACCGCCCCCTGCAGCCGCCCCCCGGCGCTGACCCTCATGTCCACGGCCCGGGGTCCACGGGCCGGCCTCCGGGGCTGCCCCGCGTGGTGAGGGGCGCGCTGGCCACTTTTAAGGGGAGCAGCTGTCAGAGCCAGCTGCCGCCCTGCTCCCCTAGAATCTCAGTGCCATCCTGTCTTAGTCTCTTTGAAGGGAAATGAAATCTAGTTTGTTGTGTGTTTTAATGTCACTTTTAGCTGTCACTTTCAAAGTTCCTTGTGATTGTTATAATCCAAGCAAAACATTTACTTACGGGCCTCCAAGCCCCAACCACTGTTTTTAAAGAGGATGTCTTAGACAGCGACAGTCTGAGGTAGAGTAGAAAGTGAGTCTCTCCAATGAGATAATAATATTCCTTCATCTTTCCATCTGTGTGCACACGTAATTTAAGCCTGTCTAACCTTGTGTTTTTCCCAGTTAACAGTAAAGCTGATGTGTTGTGGGTTTGTTTGTTTGGTTGTTTGTTTTTTTTTTTTTTTTGCAATGTCTAAAAAATTGAAATCATAAAACTTGCAGAAACTGGGCCTCCCTGGTGGCATAAGGGAGGCATAAGGGTTCAGCACTATGAAGCTATCACCAGCCACTGCAGCTGGCCAGGGAGCTGACCCACATGGCACAGCAGACCTCTCCTGTCTCCCCGCTGGTCCCCTGAGCAGTGTATTTCAGTAGACCCACCTGTTCCGCTCTCTACTCTGTTTCTGGTGAATCCCCTACCCACCCACCCCCACCACTGGCCTACACTCCAGTTCTTGTATGCATAAATAAAAACAAATCTTTTTACAAAAAAAAAGTTTCTTTCATTGCACTTAAATAGGATGCCCAGGTTTGTGAAACAGCCCCCAGCCCCAGTTTGTGGTCACTGGTCCAGCACACACTGAAGTCCGTTCCCCACCAACCAGATGATGGCCAGCACCTACCACCTCACAGTGGTCTCAACCCAGGATAGTGATGACTCATAAAAAGCTTGTGACTGCTGCTGGTTGCCCTAGAAATCAGCCCCAAGGAACAACAGCAGATAGTAGAATCTGCTGAAAGAGATCTGAAAGAAGACCAAAACTTGATGGCCAGAGTACCTTCTCTGGCACGCAGAGAATGAGAGGGTAGAGAGGAGAGCTAAGAGCTGATGAGGAGAGACACTGAGAGGAAGAGAGTGAAGAACCAAGATGTTGTTCCTAAAGCTAGCAACCGAGAAGGCACTGGCTGAAGCAAGAGCCGCCAGAGAGAAGCAGTATGAGGCTATGAGAATGGCGGCAGCTCCCGAGGGTGCTGCCGGGAGCCCTGGGAAGGGCCAACCAGCAGTGCATGCCCCATGCTCACACCCTCCTTTGCTGTCAGACTCAGAATGGCTGGATCTCAGTGCAGAAGAACAGTACGTATTATGTTCATCCTGCCTTAAGCAAAGGCAGGAAAATGTTCATTTATCTGGGAACAAGTGTAGCACAGGAATGAGAAGGACGTGCCCTGGAGTCACGCAGGCACACACCCAGCCCCTGAAAGCACCCCTGGGACCTTAAACCACCCTTTGTTAGTGCTCTTTGCCATGAAGTGGAGGATAATGAGACCCACCACATATGGTGGTTTGGAAGTTTAGGTAACCGCCAGGCCCGTTTGTGTTGCTAGCACAATGCCTAGTATATAGCAAGCTCAATAAATGTTGCTATGGAAATAATTTAAGAACCCTTAGGAAAGAAAAATATGAAAGCAGAAATGAGTGTAAGAAATTAGCTTTACTTAAAAAAGGCAAATAACTCTGTTTTTCCCAGCTCTGTTTTAAAATACTTCCCTTTTGCTGCTAAAAGAAATCAGAGAAACAGAATATTCACAACCGAGTTGGCTAAACATAGAACCTATTTGCCAACTAATAAGGCTAAGAAACGAGGTCTTGAGGGTGCTTACATGACCATACACTATCTTAAGGGACCAGTTTCTCTGCTGTATTTTTCTGCCTTAACCAAAACAACTTCCTTGCCATCAAATTGGCTTATCGATTTAAAATGAAAACCTTTGATGAAACTACTGAAATGTTATAACTGCTGTTGTTAAAATTAATAATAATTTATAAATTTATTTGCTAATATCTTTATGCATAACCGAACTTAATGCTGACTTTGACCAACTCTGAAAACTTCTCACCAAAGCTGATTCGCTGTTCTGTTCACAGTATACACAAACAGTGGTTTGTGGTATTTGAAGTAGCAACTGGATCACCCCTCTCCAGTGTTAAAGGTGCTTCTGATAAGTGCTGCCTCAGATACAGGCTCACTCTTTGTTTATGCTGTCATCTGAGAGCACTTTTCCCCTTGCTTTAAGAAAAAATAGAAATTTAACATAACCTCGAGTTCCCAGTCAGCTCCCTGAGCGGCTCCACGTCAGAGCGTGTTTGCTGAAACATTTCTCCAAACCCTAGGGTAGTTTCCTGTTTTAATTTTGCAGATTGGCTTGGGCCAAAAATACTCAAGACCCTCGAATTGCAGTCGGTTTCCAGTCCCCACTAGAAAAGAAGATTAAGGTGAGGAAATACATTTCCTGTGAACTTTGGGGCCAATACTAGGACCCTGCAGTTTATCACCAAGGTGAAAATGGCCCGAGTATCTCAAGTGAGAGCGTTTGGCCTGTCATGTCCAGTTCAGCATTGGCCCCAGCCCCAGGGGTACTGGCTAGACAGCACTGAACAAAGCAAACCCCCGAAGGGCTTAGTCCAGTGAGAGCCATTGACATTAAACACATTGTTTGCCACAAACTGTGGTATCAGGAAAGGCGGGCTCTTGCTTGCATGTGGGGAAGGTCTGAGGAAGTGACGCTTAAGCTGAGACCGGAGAGTGACGCACATAAGTGCCAAGGCGTGTGCTAGGAGCCCACAGAGGAAGAACACATGAAAATGGAGGGAAAGTGAATTCAGTTTTTGAGGGAACAGAAAGGTCAGTGTGGTTGCAGCAGAGCGAGCAAGCAGCTGAGCTAAGGTGGTTTAGAGAGGCGATCAGGAACCAGAGGGTGTATGTCCTCTTGGGATTTGGGGTCTTGTCCTGTGAACAATAGGATGATATGGGGTTCTGTGCAGGAAAGTGTCATGCGCAGATTTATGTAATTCAAAGATCACTCTGGGAGCCAAGGGAGAGAAATGTGGATTGAGGGATGCTAAGGAGGCTGCTACCTGGGTGGGGACATTCAGAGATAGACATGGCAGATGAAAGGGGAAACTGAAGAAAATACTTTGGAGGAAGAATCAAGTGGCAGTATCAAGGAGTGTCTAGATGTGAAGTTGAGGACCCACAGCCATCCTGGGATGCCTCAACCGTCCTGCCCGCTTCTCTGTCCCCTGCTCTAGAGCAATGCCCAACATGTAAGTCACCTTGTTCAGTGCTCGAGACGTCCCTGTCCAAGGAAGCTGAGTCAGGACTGTGCTCCAGCTTACGTGACAATTTCTCTGCTACATTTTCCTGTGTTCTGTGTAAAAGGCAGAGCCAGCAAAGCAGGTGGAGGGACCGGCCATGAGGAAGAGAACTGGACTATTCAGTCACTCAGAGATACCTACCTAGTGGCAAGGACAGTCTGTGTGTGTGTGGGGGGGGGGGGGAAGTGGGGAGAGATACCCAAGATACCCCTAGTCACACACCCTTGGTTGTAGCCTGGAAGCCTGAGAAAAGTGTTTGAGGAGAAAACGGTCACCTCTGCGGAAAGGTGAGAGGTCACACACAGTAGGGGACCAAGAAGGGATCACACTTATCAACCTGGAGGTCGCTCGTGACCTAGATGCAGAGGCATCCTGAGGAGTAGAGACCTAGCTGAGGAGCGAGTGTGGGGTGTTAAAGTGGAGAGAGGTCACAGGTGCCTGCTTCAAGCTACACTGAAGGGGAGTGGTCAGGGTAGGAGCGATGGAAGGATGGAGCCCAAAGGGAGATCTTTCCTTTCGTGCTTAAGGGTGTTACACAATGCAGGTGTGTGTGTGGAGGACAGCAATGGCGCAGGAAAGGGAATGTGGTCATTGCAAATGAAAGTTCTCGGAGCTCCACAAGCTCAGGTGGGAGGACTGGCTGGGAGGTGAAGAGAAAAGGTCTCCACAGTAAAGGCTCGAAGGCAGAGTCTGGGGGAGACTTGGTGGTGGCTCTAGCGGGAGGAGGGTGCTCCTGGGGGACTGTTTCTTCAAGGAAGTCTAAGGCACAGACATAGCGAGGAACACTGGGAAGGGGAGGGCAAGAGGTCTGGAGACCTGATTCACGGTTCCGTGACCCAAACTGGACATGGTGATACCGCACCGCGCAGGGCCAGTAGCCACTTGAGATCTGTTCACAGCCTATGATAAATGACAGCAACTTAAAAAGTTCTAATACTTCCCTTTGACAAGAGTTTAGGTGGTGTCCATTCTCCAGAAGCGAGGAAACTGTTAGCCAAAAAATTCCAACAGGAGAATGAAACACTTGATAAACTTAAGGCCATGTCTTTCGACTTGCGGTTTGCCAAAGCAGTGACCTACTACAGCCAGCGCCACCGGGAGCGGCTGCCGAGCCAGGAGTGGGAGCCCAGCGCGGCTGCGAAATGGGAAACTGAGGCAGAGGAGGGGAAGCCGCCCCGCGCAAGCTCAAGAGACAAGCCAAGGCATGACCTGGTGCCCGAGAGGGAGCTGGAGCAGATAAGGAAACACGTCCACCGGGCCGAGCGCGCCAGAGGCCTCAGAGACCACAGGTACCGACGACTCCCCCAGAAAATTCCAAGTGAGCCGCTTTTCACAAAGACGCTGATGCTGGCAAAGGATGCCCAAGCGGAAAACACCCAGAAAACACAAAAAACGAAAATGAACAAGCACAAGGTAGCCTGGGCAAAGGAACAGATAAAGCGGCACCAGGAGCGGATGGTTCGAGGGAGAAGCCTCACGGAGCAGAGGAACAAGGAACGAGCCAGGGGGACCCTCTCCACCTGGGTGGCTCCTCCCCTGAAGCCTCCAGTGGTGAAACCTCCAGAGGAAGCAAAAGAATATGAGTGGGTCACAGCCTATCCAATTGCCCAGCCTTACCAGAAAGCACTAATAGAAGTGACAATTCTGAGGGAAAAGTCAAAAAAGGAGTATGAAATTAAGAAACGACCCCCCAGGGAGGTCCTGTGTATACCACCATTTTTGAAAAGTCAACTGAAAAGAAATAAAGTTTCAATTATTTTCTAGATCACTGTATCTCTTTTTAAGGTCAGCATCCCTCTTCCTTGTTAGTGCAGGAAAGTCCATACTCTCCAATTTTGCATCCAGCTGGAAAAAATAAAAGGTAAACCCCAAACATGGCATTCCCACGTGTTTCAGTCACCTGGTTACCTGCACCAAACCCCAGCCACTTCCAACCACCACCATGTTATTCTCTTTCAGTTCTTATCAGGAATTCAGGCAGAACTCAGCCTGGCAATTTTTTTGCCCATGCAGCACCACTGGCACCAGGAGACTTGGGGATACTCAGGTGATGGATGGGCTGAACTGCAGGGCCCATGGTGGTGCTCCCTGTGTGCCCTTGACAGGGCCATCAGAAGAGGCTGGCTCAACATGTCCCTCTCCCTGTCCCTTTCCCGTGGTCTCAGGGCCACGTGGTAGTTGGACTTATTACATGGTGCTCCCAGAGGCCTGGTTTCTGAGCCCCCTGAACATCATTCTGCCCTTTCTGTTGCCCAGACAAGTCACCAAGACCAGCCCAAATTCAAGGGGAGAGGAAACAGCCTTGTCCTCAAAAAAAATTGGGATCCACTTTTTAATGACTCACTCCAGTATTCTGAAGTCTATCGCATCGCCAGCTGTTGTTCTCCTTTTCAACAATGCTCACAAAAACTAAATCAATATTCTTTTATGAAGAAAGAAACCTACAATTCCACGCTCCTGAGTTGGTCTTGATAAAGAGGCCTAGCTCCCCTCCATAGAATATAGACAGAATATCGCACAACTCTTGTATTCTCCAGTGCACCTAAAAACTGAATGGGGTCTCACGTACGTAAGCTTCAGCCTAGCCCTGCCAGATACCCAAGACTGCAGGACGCCCTCCTCAAGGGGCTTCAGATCTATTTGGGGAAGTGAACAATAGAATAAAGCTGTACATGTCCATGTTTGCCGTGGAAAAAGTATATTGAAAATGAGGACTAGAGAGGTTAGCAGTTTGTGGGGAATATGAAGATGAAAATACACCTCAAATGATCACTTCTCAGGCAGAGCAGTCAGGAGGAAAGCATGGCCCGGTCCAGCACAGATGCCTGCTCCCCGCTGCCACCATTGGCCTGGCCCAGCGCCAGCCCTGGGGCTGCGCTGGAAACACTGTGCCCCAGACTCTGCGAGGGCACGGCACTAGTTCAGTTCCAAGTTCTGGAGGGGAAGGGAGGCTTTGGGGTAGGACAGGAGCTTGAGATAACATGAATCACATTTTTGCTTTTTCTATTCAGGACCTTAAAGAAAAATTGGTTTATGGTCTCCCTGTACTACATAAATTCTGTAATTTTTTTAAGTAATGAAGAAGCACAATTAGAAAACTCAAATAGTTCTAGAAAGGCACAAAATGCGGTTACAGATTTGCCACCTTAATGTGTACAAGGTAGCCACTTCTCAAGTTTCTTACAGGAATTTGGAAAAAAGAGGCTGGCAGCTCTAAACACACGTGCTTGAACAGTTAAGGCACACGTGTGGGATTTCACGTATGTGAAATGTCCAGAATTGGCCAATTTATGGATAGTAACAGGCAAAATTATACATATTTAAGTAGGTTAACGGTTCATCAGGGCTAAGGGCAAGAAGGGCACTACTAGGGACAGGATAGGCAGGGAAGAATATTCTAAAATTGGACTGGTGGTGGTTGTGGCAGTTCACAGCCCTGTGAATGGACCGGAGAATAAATGAATCGGCCACTTTAAAGGGGGGAATGACATGCTATGTGATTCACACCTCAATAAAACTGCTTCACAGAGCGAGGTGGCTGGCGTTTGGGAGGAAGGGGCAGGAGTCTGGACATCACTGGTGAGCTCGAAGTGTTTCAAACCTCGGGGGGGTGGTGGTGGACGTGGTCGCTGAGAAAGGGACAAGAGGGTTTGAGGAAGAGGGAGAGATTGGAAGGACAGTCAGGATACAGGGCACCCAGTGACAAGGTGGAGAGTAGAGACCAGATGGAATCAGACCAGGCTTTGTAAGGAGTTAAACAGAAATCTTAGGTTTCTTTGTGAGGAAATAAGTAGCAAAAGCACCAGTACAGAGACCTGAATCAAACGCAAGTGCTGCTATTTGACCATGTTTTACTTATAGAAACAGTTTCACATGGTCCAACCTAGTGTCTGTTGGCTTGAGTAGCAAATGTTCTGCCAAGGCTACTGACGCGCACAGTGGGACAGGGCTAGAGAAAGGAGCAGCTCTCCCTAGAGCAGGAAATAAAGAGGAACTGTAGCTTTTTGTGAATATGGCAGTGAGTTTCCTTTAATCAAAGACAACCACGACAAATTCATTAACTATCAAAAGCTACATTTTACTAAAAACAATCTGTCTTTAAAAATGTTTAATCATACAATATATACAACACGTGCCGCTTTCTTTTCGTTCACGATTCACTTGAGTCCTAAAAAAAAAAAAAGGGAAAACTACTGGTTAACAGTTTTTAAGTGATAAATGGAAAGTCGACTTAACATACATAGCTGAGACCCACCGGCTGGGCCCTCTTCAGTGAGCAGAGCCCAGACCAACCCCATCATCTATCTAACATGCTGCTATTTTGGGTCAAGATTAAAGCAGGGCCTCCTTCGTGCAGGGGTTAAAGTCTCAGCGCTATCAAGCTCTCGACAGCCTCTGCAGCATGAGTTCCATCCCCGGCCAGGGAGGTACCCACATGGCACAGCAGACCTCTCCTATCTTGCCCTGCTCTCCTCAGCAGTGTATTTCAGTTGGTCTGCCTGTTCTGTTCCCCACTCTGTCTCTGGCGAATCCTCTTACCCCCACACCTCTGGCCTAGACCCCAGTTCTTATGTGCATAAATAAATCTTTAAAAAAAATTAAAGCATGTATAACAAAGTTTATATTAAGTACTGAAAAACTCATTTTAACTCTCAAAATCACAGAAAATTTGAGCTTGGAAAAAAGGAGACTTCAGCAATGACCCAATCAAACTCCCCTCACCCACAGGCAGATTTACAGGTGAGGGAAATGAAAATGAGAGAGATTAAGTGACATCACTGGACATCAGAAAGGGCAGAAGCAGCAGAATCCCCACACCAGAACTACATCTGCTCTCCGATCTCTCCCTAGCGATGTTCCCCTTCATAAAAATGAACAATTATCTCCTAGCATAACTCAAAAATAAGAAATGCTCACTCACTAACATCATTCCAAGGTAATTCTGCCCTAATCCTTCTTTTCTGTTTTGTACTTTTGAAAAAACAAATCTAATGGGACAATGAACCAAAACTGATGGAAAAACTCGATACTCCACTGATGTACCTTACCAATTTATTGGGGAAGGGGCAAGCCAAACCAAGAACTAACACTTGCTCTGTCTCCTTCAACTGCAAAGCTTCAAAATATCTAAGTAATCAATTCCAAGAAGGAAACTGCAGGCCCCAGGCCTGCTCTGCCTTCCTCACCAGCCCCACAGTTCTAGGAACGGGGCACTAGTGGGAAGTGAAGAAGCAGGAAGGCCTGGAAAGCCAGGTACGTGTTAGTAAAAACGAGCATTGCCCCCCCAGGAAATGTTACCTTGGGTGGGCGTCACGCACTTAGCCTCTCCTGGCTCTGGCCTGAAGCAATCACGGGCTCTGAGATCTCAAAGGTCTTCACAATCTCCTGGCAGAGAATAAAAAACGTGTGGGCAGGGGCTTCACCTTGCATGACAGAATGACGGACACGACTGCCAGGGGCCAGGGGCAGAGCTTTACCTCCCAGTCGCGGTAACTCAGAGCTATAATTCCTTGATTCCTAATTTGGGTGCTTTGGTCAATTCCCTCACTTTCTTCATTAATACTAACAGGTTCTGTTTGAAAGAGAAAATTCGCAAAGGTTATGCAATCGGAAGAGGTAATCTGAGCAGAGACTGACAAAATATAGGACGGAAATCTCTATGGATTTCGTGGACTACTGACTTGTTATAGTGCTATTATTATGGTAGCAAGCCATGCCATGCGCTTCCATTAAAAAAAGCTAAGTTCTCGTCAGTCCAATATGAAACTGAGAACTTTCAAAGTAAGAGTAACAGCAGTGAAAGTGATTCATTCGCTACAGGAAACCTTAGTGGGAAAAGAGTAATAGAAAGTATGAAATTATTGAACTAAAAATTAAAGATTGTCTCAGGAAGAGGAGGAGCTGGCAGCAGGGGAAAATAGAAGGAAACTACAATCATATCTGTAATTACAAACTTTCTGTTTGAGGGAAATGATAGGTTCTTGGTGCATCTTTACAGCAGTAGATGTTGAATTGATAGCAGTGAATTTATTTGGTTCACCCTACGGTTGTGTTTTCAGCCAAACAAGCTATAGCACCGTAAAAGTTTATTACCGAAGATAAAAACTCAGTTGGGAAAACACATTGTATAAGCTCTAATAACAAGATATTTTCTCTAAGAGGAATTTTCTGAATGTAGTATCATTTACCTATTATTGGCAGACGGTCTTGGTCAAGTCTTATTCGTGCAAAACCATCCTAAAACACAAACATGTTTTTAGGAGAAGACCAACATTTAGATTCAAAACCTATAATCATTGGATGGAAAAAAATCACTCAATTAGAAAATTCTGTTATCTCCAACAGTTGAAAATGTATAGCAATCATGAGATCCTATGAATGAGATTTTCCTGAAGTTTTCCCTTCATTTACGGGGTAGTTCCCAGGTTTCTATTCAGCTTTTACCCAGACAGAGCCCCCAGCCTGATGTTCTTTTACAACCCAGACTGCTACCTGTTTAACTGATTCAGGTTGACTTTTGACTATTTCACTTTTTATGATGCATAATTCTATCATTTATCATTGATAAAATATGCCTTTGATAACATTTTTGGAAAAATACCTTGGTCAATACAAGATTTTTGTCTAAGGTTAAAATCAAACTCTTCTCACATGTGCAGGAATGCAACTTGAGACCAGCCCATTCCTGAACAGGGCTTTTTTTTTTTAGCCTTCTATTCTGAAGTCATTTCAACCCCCAGAGTTACAAGATTACCATAAAGACCTCCCCTATAATCTTTCCTTGGCTTCACCATCTGTTCACGTGTTGCCATTTATTTTGTCACTGTCTCGCTCTATATATTATATGATTACTCTTTCTGTGAGTAAGTCACAGACAACCTGCTCCTTTCCCTTTGGGGTTCATTTCATGAGAACAATCTTACTCGCTTACAGAACCTGACAATGATCCAACTGGGGAAATTCCACATTTATATTATGCCACTTAATCTACAGTTCCATATTCAAATTTTGCCAATTCTCTATTGAATTTCTGAAAGGTAAAAAAGCACACAAATTTTAGCTAGTTTCCTCTGCCTATGTGTCAATTAATATCTTATTACAATAGGTCTAAAATACTCACTGGTTAGTACAATACCTTTGTCAGCGCCTACCTACAGCTTTTATTATTTATCCTTTTATAGGCACACGAGCAATTAGAGAAATAATCTTAAATCTTACCCGTATAATGAAGGAAACGTGGAAGATGTTTTCCACAGTTCGGGGGAAAGAATGTGGATCAACCACAAAGTCAAAGAAAGACATAGGTGTATCCGCTGTAGAGAAAAGGGGGAAATTCTTCAAAATGGGAAAATGACTTTTGCTTGCCAGCAGTTCCAAGTGTTAGTCAGAGAGGAGAGAGGAAATGGATGCATCCTGGTGGGGTAGAGTAGATTCAGGCCATCCTGCCCAAGGGCAGTCTGGCACAGCAACTACATATCTGTTTGCCCTTGACCTGGCAGTCCTCTAACAAGTTGTCCTGTGGAGATATCAGGGGGAGCACATGGGCATGTGCCAAGATTTTTCACATTTAAGCAAGAATAAAATGCTACAAAGAACTTACTTGTCCACTAATGGATAATTGTTACATTTGTTCAGGAGACAGCCATACAAAGGGGATCACTGAAAACAGGGGGTGTGGAAGGCATGTAGCAGGAGACCATGCATACTATGATTAGTTTTGGAAAATGCAACACAAAACCCCAAATCCCAACTACTTATGTGCATATTTTCACAATTGTCCTAAACAGAAAACATATACATTGTGTTTTATAAGTGGCCTCCTCTTGGGAGAGTGGGGGGTGGGGCAGGCACTGGACCTTTTACTTTTCTCACTTCCATAGCATGTTTCACTATGTAATGGAAAAAAATACCTCATCGTTTAAAAATAAAAATGAAAAGTGACTTCAAGTTCTCACATGGGATTTCTAAACGGGAAGCCTCCTTCAATACGTATCCCACAAAAGAATGAAAATGACTCAAACACATGGGGCCTCCCCGGTGGCGCAGCGGTTGAGCGCTGGGTTGCGAAGCTGCGCGCGGCCTCTGCAGCGCCGGTTCGATCCCCGGCTGCTCCCCGGCCACCAGAGGAGGGTCCCACATGGCGCGCAGACCTCTCCTGCCGCCCGTTGCTCCCCTCAGCAGTGTACTTCGGTCCTTCTGCCTGCTCTGCTCCCTGCTCTGGCTCTGGTGAATTCTCTCGCCCTCCCGCGCTTCTGACTGTACCCAGTGCATGTATAAACAAAAACAAACAAACAAACCAGCAAACAAATAAATTAAAAAAGCATGCCTCTATAAAAAAAAAAAAAAAAAAGAAAATGACTCAAACATCACGTACAATGGAAAATGCCTTTTAAATTCAAATCACTTCTCATGTTGTTTGAGAAATGCAAAGGGCCCCATCAGAGAACTCCGTGTCATACTTACGATCTTCTCGAAAATACGTTTGCAACAGCCCCAAGATTCTTTCTACTTCTTTTTCTGTTGCTTCCTGATGCGATTCTTCCATTCTGTTCAGCTGTAAATATAAAGTCAGTGTCAGCTGAGGAACCTATTTGCCAGCCTTGCAGCCTTATCTGTTCTCTCATGTACCTTACTGGGGATTGCTACCAATTTTTATCCCCATCTGAACATTTAGTTCTAAAACAAGGTTTTCCAGCTTCAATAACATTTGTATATTAATTTTTAGCAGAAGTGTAACATTACCAGATGGACTGTTGTCAGGTTGAGCTTAAAATAGCACAATTCAAAGTTTCTCCTCTGGAGATCTCAACCCCCAGGGACATCTGCTAATGGCTGGAGCTGTTTTGGGTTGATGGGAGCTGCCTGGCACTTAGCAGGCAGTGGTCAGGGTGCAGTTAAGCACCCCAGAGTGCACAAGGCAGGCCTCTCAGCAAAGAGTTCTCCAGCCCCAATTGTCGAAGATGCAGCTGAGAAACGCAGGCTCAGGAGAATGCATCCAAATCCAGGAGTGGTGAAAACAGTCAAGACAAGCAGTCAAGGCAATAAAATGTTTAAAGGCTTCAATAAAGTGTTTGACTGCCTGAACGTGACTCCAGACGCTAAAGCTTAGAAAAGACGGCCAGGATGCTCACACCTTATAGTAAAGGCTCTTTTAACTCGAGGCGTTTTCAAAAGCAACGGTAAGAAAAAAATAAATAACCAACCTGGGCAGGCATTGCTCGCTGCTCTTCAATCATGGGGACCTTCCTTGGCCGATCGGTTCGTGGCTTTGGCACAGGCAACTCTCCTTGTATTGAACCCAACCTAACGAAAAATATTCTTTCAGGCCTTGGTTTGTTTTTAAACAAACTAATTTCACTAAATGAAAGCAGTTCCCCTGATTTAGTCTAATTCAGACCAGGCATCAGTGATACGGAGCTGACATCAGACAAGATGCTTGTCAGCTCACACATCCTTTCTGCTTCGTTTTCACTCAGTACCTCCCTCCAAAGCCTTCATATTTTGCTCTCGACAGTGGCCCTGCCTGTGGTCTTCCCAGCTAGCCTTTTCTCTACTGTGCAAAGCCAAGTTCAGAGATCAGGGAAACATGAACAGGTAGGGGAAGAGAACGAACTAAAGTCTTGGGTTCACAGTCTGGGACTACGGAGCATACCTGTCTCAGGATAATTAGGATAGTGGCATGGGATTCCTTGCCCCTTTAGACTCCCTCCAGCTCCTACCCCCAAAGCCCTAATGCAGAAGATGTAAGTTATAGTAATAGATGCAGTAGGCGGAGGTCAAGGCCAGAGAATAAGATCAGACTCGGGAGGTCAGTCTACTGGGGATGAGCAGAAATTCCTGCATGCAGGGCCATTTCAACAAGCTATGGGGGCTCCAAGAGCTCTGGACTCGAGTACAGGGAGATAGGAAACCTGACCCTGCACCCATACCACTGTCCTGAAAAGTGACCGGAAGCCTTTAAGTAAACCTCACTGGGAAAGATGAACAAAAGGACAGTGAGAACCGAGGGAGCGGGAAGCGCAAGGACACAAGGCTGTGAATCCTTCCTCATGGCTGGAATGGGGTGGACAATGAAAGTTTAAGTCACACCACAAAAGGTTATCTCTAGATCCTAGGATTTCTGATAAGAGTCTAGAAAGCAACAAGAAATAAAGATTGGGATTCTATACTGTGGCAAATGCTGTAATACACTCCCACACACTCCCACACACTCCCACACACACTCCCATTCACTCTGGTTCTGGCACCTTTGATATCAGAAGGTTAAAATTTATAAAGAGAGATGCCTGGCTCCACAACACAGACTGACCACATCTGCATCTCCAAAGCCTTCTGAGACACATCTCAGGAGATTTAGAAGAGAGAATCAGAATCGACAAACACCCAGGAAACCTATATCAGTTAAGGAAGACACAACGCAGGTGGCTGCATTAGAGAAAGTATCTACCAGGTACACAGCCAGGTACACAATGTATTCAAGGCTGTTGGACAAAAGACCCAGTAAGAGATGCTCTTATTTTCACATAGGACTGCGTTAGGAAATTAAAACCAAAAGACAATTTCATGCACATAGAGAAAAGCTTTTCAAAATTAGAGCTGTATCCAAAAAGGAACTGGGTAGTTTATGCGACAGTGACTCCAACAATTTCTAAATACAGGTCTGTGACCATCTAGCAAGGGATTATAAATAGCACAGATATTGGTATAATCTTAACATACCCTCCATAGGGATGATCATTCTTCTACATGACAAGGATTTTAAAGATGATGAAACAAAGGCCCGTATTTTGTCACAGACCAAAACCTCCCTGGTAGGCAGCAAGGGCCAGGAGGGAGAACTGGCTGGCCCACAGCCTTTCTGGCTGAAATGATTCAGGATGAGGTCCCAACCACAGCCAGATTCTAGGGGCTTCTAAATCAAAGTTGAGAAAGTCTAAACAAAGACATCATGACCATCGCCTCTACAAAACAGCAAATTGGTTTTCGTCTCTACAATAAAAAGCAGTTTCAGGTTTACAAATGGCTGGTCTGTTGGATTTTGAAAGTAATCTTACAGAAAGTGGAATGTATGGGTTTTATTAAAGGTGTTTTCTGCTGTTTTGCCTGATATTTTCCAGGAGTCATAGACAATGAGTTCAAAGTCAGAACTATCTTCATCACGGATGAGTTCTTCAGCTTCTAGTGGATTTACACCCATATGCGTCAGCTGCAAAAAAGAAGAAAACAAAAAACCACAGTTAAGCCACAGGCAATCACCCACCACGTCCAATAATCTATCACTAAAGCATGGAGTCTGGAGGCAAAGCCTGTTTTTAGTGCCCTAACACTGGCTAACTGTCTTCTTATAAAGATAACCTTTTATATAAATTCTCATTGCCAAAGGTACAAAAGATTCCTCCATGCTCAAAGAACCTCTTGGTGAGAAAGTGAGATGGCCCCATGGGTCTTTGGCCAATAGAGACATTTTGGTTGGGAGTTACTAGCACCTAGTGGGTGAGACCAGGGTGCTGCTCAAATCCCACAAGGCACAGGACAGGTGCTGCAACAAAGACTTGCCCACCCCCAGTGTCCATACCATGAGGCTGAGGAGCCCTATTCTTTCCCCTGCAGGCCGAGGGGGTTTGGGACGCCAGAAGAACTAAGCCCGCTGGAAGGTCTGGGTCACAAGTAGCTCATTTTTAAAGTAGCAGCAAACCTGTATTAGCATAAAAATATAAAATCATATCCCTGATCAAAAGCTCCAGGGCAGAACAGGGATGTTTAGCTGGCTGGCCGATTTCCATATTTAGCCAGTCACCCAGAGACCTCGATTCAGACCTGGGGGGTGTCAACAGACCCAGGAGCAGTGGCGGAGTGTGGTGAGAGAACTGTCCACTCAAAATGGCCTTCCTGGGATGAGTGGACAGAAGTCTACTGTCCCTTCTATCTCAAACTATCAGAAAATGTATGATACTAAATTCACTTTCATGGAAGCATACTTTTGTGACATTATAAGATGCGTAGAAGTTATCAAATTAAAGTGGTAATATCATATAGAAACAATAATCCAAAAGCCCTCAGAAGGCTTAACCCTATCAAAGGCCATCAAACTTTGTAGAATAGAGAGATTATAGAGAGGATGAGAGCCCCCCCAATTCTCCGGCCACCCCTTCCTGCAGCCCACACTCGCAGGAGGGCACTTCCACTTTTGTCTGGTCAAACCTTACCGCCTATTTGGTATTACACTTAAAGAGCCCCCCTAACCCCGCCTTTACCAGCCCCCTCAAGCTGGACAGCTCTTAATTTCAGGTTTTCAATAGAATACATTAAGACTTCTAGAATTTATTTTGGTATGCTAAAGGAGAAAGCTTACTCTGATAACTAAAAGTAACATTTAAAAAGAGACTACAACTCACTTTATTTATGGAGTTGTATTAGTGGCATCTAAGTGCATTATACTCCACAATAGAGACGTTAACAAAAATTTTAAGGTCTTAAATTTTAGTAAGTTTGAATTTTTAAAAAGTTAAAATTTGAAAAAGAGCAAAAATCTCATTTACCTCATACCTCTACAGAAGAGTTCGCAGATCTAGTCAGATATCAAGGGGCTAAACTGTTTTAATAACCATTTCACAAACATCCAGTTAGAAATTCAACATCCAGGGGCCTCCCCGGTTGTGCAGCGGGTTGAGCGCAGCGTTGGGAAGCTGGCCGCAGCCTCTGCAGCTTGGGTTCGATTCCCGGCCGGCCAGGGAGATTCCCACATGGCGCACAGACCTCTCCTGTCGCAACCGCTGCTCCCTTCAGCAGTCTTTTCAGTCCATCTGCCTATTCTGGTCCCCGCTCTGTCTCTGGTGAATTTTTTCACCCTCCCACACCTCTGGCCTGTACCCCAGCTCTTGCATAAATAAATAAATCTTTAAAAAAAAAATTCAATATCCATGCAGAGATACAAGGACAGAGGTTGACTCTGAGCCCAACCAAGGAGACAGAAGACCACCGTGTAAGACACAGGGTCCGGATCGCTGTGTTTCTGGTGATCCTCTCAAGGGAAAGTTTTAAAATTTCAAGTTTGACAAGCACGCAAACATAGTATGAGGCAAGGAAATGTGAAGCAACAATAAAACGGAAAACAACCAAAAAAGCAAAACCCCAATTACGTCGGCATGGTTCTGAAATAGTGTCAAAGAAAGACCAAAACCTGTCCGTGCCCCAGGCAACGTCTCACTGAGCTCTGCCACCAGCCACGTGGGCTTTCTCTCAACCCAGGGCAAGGGCCGCTGAGAATGAGCTGGGGTGCGGACGAGCCCACGGCGATGACAGTCCAGCACAGTCTTCTTAGCCAAGTTCAAACTGCCCTAGGCCCCAGCCCAATTCCACCATGGAGTTCTACCTTCATGTGTCCCTTTCGGTTACCTCTCTGGGAAAACTGGACACCAAACAAAAGGAAAACAAGATGTTAAAACCATTTGCACGTGGATACAACTAGATTGTACAAATGTGACAGAGGAAACGTTTCCCGTTCAGCCACGGTAGCTCTGGTGCAGCGGGTTGAGTGCTGCACTGTGAGGCTGTCCGCAGTCTCTGTAGCGCAGGTTCGATTCCCCGCCAGCCAGGGAGAAACCCACATGGTGTGGCAGACCTCTCCTGCCTCGCCCGCTGCTCCCCTCAGCAGTGTCTTTGGTCCGTCTGCCTGTTCTGCTCCCCACTCTCTTTGGTGAATCCTCTCACCCTCCCATGCCTCTGACCTGTACCCCGGTTCTTGTATAGATAAATAAGTCTTTAAAAAAAGTAAAATACAAAAAGTCCTCTTAAAAAAAAAAAAAGAGAGACACGGTAGCTCTGATCTTACCAGCGTTTCAACGTATCTCAGCATGTCAAACGAGTTCAAATCAGAACGTAGCTGCTTTGCTTTCTCTTTGCCCAAATCTGAAGCCAAAACAAGAAACTGGGCATCCAGAACAGCTTCTCTGGCTCGGGACACTATTCAAAGAAGGAAAATACATATATGACAAAATACATACACAGCAGCCACAGGTATTTTCCCCAAGTTTCCAATGACTTACTTGCCATTTCCACCGGGCCAAAATCAATCTCCGACTTACCCTTCTTCCCTTAAAAACTGACCCCCTCCCTCAACTCACCAAACCCTCCATGAGAAGCTGACCAGCCTTCCTAAAAACCAGCTCTCTCCAGTTTTCCCACTTCTGGGAGCCACACCACCGTCTCGTAACAACCCAGTGTAACACGCTCTGCTAGGGCTAACTAGCTTCCCCTTGTGCCCCAGGAAGGCATCCTCGTCACCCCATCGCCAGCACTGAGGTCAGCGGAGCTGAGTGCCCTGTGCTGCGAGTGGACAAGGAGCCTGAAGAGAAACAACCGCCAAGTGCTGGGCCAAGCAGACGGTCTGCAGGCCGCACGGCAGGGACCTCTGAGGGGATGGTCAGGGCGGTTTGACAGAGGACAGAAAATTTAATGTGAGCTGTAGAGGGGGAAAGAGAAATAAAAGGAGACAAGAAGGAAGTCAAAGGGAAACCGAGGACAAAGTTTAAGGGAGGAGATAGGGTCCCACTGGAAACAGCAGGGCCGGGGGGCTGGGCTTCAGCAGACCCATGGGGCCAGGGGACTGTGGGGTGCTCTGGGAACCCCTGTGAAGGCAAACTGAAAAGGCCAAGAAGAAACCCACATGGCAGAGCTCAAATACAAAACACCCCAGCCTAGCTGGCTCCCAAGGCCTTTCACCTGAATCACCGATTTCCTGAAGATTCCCCAGGCTGGTAAATTTGTCAGCTCCAGTTTTTGATTTTCGCCCCCTTAATCTTATTTCGGGAAAGCTCACTAGAACTGACAGATTCAAGAGGAGCAGATCCTGGGCCATTCTAGAAAGCTCTCGCCCTTGGCCTCAAGGCCCATGGGGAGAGGAGAGCAAGTCTCCATACCACGGCGGCTTAATGGCTCTCCAGGGTAAAACTGGGACCCGATCCATGAACACCAGGATTCCTGTGAGCCGGCCAGCACCTGGGGCCCAGTCATTAGCAGGGAATCCAGCCAGCACCGTGGGAACAGCAGAGGGGGTGGGTCGGGAACAATCTTACTCCCAGAACAGGGAACGCACAACAGTGGCCAAGAGCAGACGGCCTGAGCTGAGTGAGGGCCAGAAGGAAAGGTAGAGGGCAAGGAGGGACTTAATGGGGTGAAAGGGAAGTGTGGGTTCCTGGAGGCTTTGATGAGGCCTATGTGAGAGTTGCTGAGCAAACGTGAGACCAAGACAGGAAGGGAAAAGAGGCCACAGCCATAGATCTGAGAGCAGAGATAGGAAAACATTCAGAGGAGACATTTCAACACTAGGAAGACGAGAAATAAAGGTTCTGATGCGCCAAGAACATGAGGGATTGCGGGTTCGGGGTTCGGACACTTCTTTGCTGCCCTGTTTATTGCAGTTTCTCCCTTCCTGCACAACTGTTAAAGGAGGGGCTTAGAGAGACACGTGTTTGAGGGTCTTCACTCCATGCCAACATTGGGGCGTCCCCAACTCTGTCATCAAACAGAGAGACTGCTGCTCCACTAACACCACCGCTGCCAAGGTTGATTTCAAAGCCCCTTCCCATGGCCTACAACTCCGGGGCCTGGGATTTGTCTCTCACATGCCCCAGGTTGGGTTACAGGTGGGCCAAAACACAAAGGGTAAGTGGTCAAGGAGCTTCAGAGGAGCAGGTGGAGGCTGGGAGAAGGACAGGAAAAGGAAGCCAGGTCAGGGCCCAGCCCAGGCCTCTCCCTAAGCCACCCACTCAGGCGGTGGATCCTGGGAATGGAGCGGGAGCCACAGCAGGAAGATGGTGGAGCGAACAGGAAAAGTCCTCCAGCTTAGCAGGCAGCAGAACCACTGCAGGCTTCTTAACACATGTGGCCGCTGCTCCCTCAGCATCTTGTAAAGACTAGTTGAGGCTTAGGGGATGCAACAAGTTCTATCCTTGCTACAATGAAAACAGTTTCAGCAGAAACAAAAACCAAAGCACTGGTGTAAACCAGGGAATTGAAGGATGCCCACCACGTGGCCCGCTCCTAAAACTCTGCAAAATGATGCCAAGGGGCCTGTGACCAGGCACTGCCATTCACCAAATGACCAATTACCTCCGTTAAACAGAGTGTTGGCCTCTTCGAGGGCCTCCGTCAATTTGTCGCTGGCATTCAGTATATCCTCTCGGTTTTCTATTTGAAAAAAGAAAATTGCAAGTTTAGGGAAACGTGCGCATCACCCCCTGACGGGTCGTGGGCAAAGCGACGGCCAGTAGCCATGAAGTCCAGCAGCTCCTGCTTTAGATCTTCCACCCAGACAGCTCAGAAAGAGCAAGGAAGCGCCCCGCTGAGCGGCAGCAACTTTCAAAGGAGACCCTGGCTCCCCTAACCTGCACCCCAAGGGCTCCCCGGGCAGGCTCGGAGCGGCGCTGCGCAGGGAGCGGTTGTCCAACTTCACCAGCCGCGGAAGCGCGGAAGGCCCCACGGCGCCCCCGGGTTTCCGAGAGGGCGGGTACAGGGTGGGGTGCGAGGGTTTGCATGTGTGACACTTCTGGGGCGCCGCTGTCCCTGCCGGGCGGGCAGCTCGCCGGGCGCCTGGCGGTCAGGCCAGCAGGCCGGGGTGGGGGCCCCGCCTGTGCGCCCGGCTGGCCGCCCGCGCCTGCCCGGCCTCCCGCTGGGTGGTGCTGCCCCTCGGGGGCCGGCGCGCCCCCGCCAAGGTCGTGCAGCTCGATCGGCACGACAGATGGGGAAGCCCTGGGCGAGCCAATCGGGGCGCGGCCGGGCGGCGGGGGGCCGGCGCCGCTGACCCCCGGCTGCGCGGGGCCTGCGCGCTGCACGCCCCGCCCGCGCCCGCGCCCCGCGCCGCGCCCCGCGCCCCGCCCCCGCGCCCGCGCCCCGCGCCCCGCGCCCCGCGCCCGCCCGCGCCCCGCGCCCCGCGCCCGCGCCCCGCCCCGCCTTACGTTGGACCGAGTTGATGAGCGCGCGGTACTGATGGCGGATCTGGCGGCACAGGCCGTGGTCCGTCTCCGCCTCCAGGCTGGCCGGGTCCAGCAGCTCGTCCCCCGAGTCCGACGGCTCTGCCTCCTCCGGGCTCGGGCGCGCCGGGGCCTCCCTGCGCTCGGGCGCGGCGCCGCGGCGGGACGCGGGCGACAGCGGGGACCGCGAGCGGGAGCGGGAGCGGGTGCGGTCGCGGTGCGGGTCGCGGGCCCGGCCCCGGCCCTCCGCCCGGCGGCCGCTGCTGTCCCCCGACATCGCGCCGCGCCTGCAACTTCGGGCGGCGGAAGTTCGCGCCAGAAACTGAAACCCCGGCGGCGCGAGCGCCCGTCCCCGCGGAGCGCGCCCCGGCCCGCGCGGCCACAGCGACGCCAGTGGCGGGAGGCCGGGGCCGGCGGCGGGCGCGGGCGCGGGCGGGGGGGCGGGGGGGCGGGGGGAGCCCCCCGACGCCGCCCGCCCCCGCCCCGGCCCGGGCCGCCGACCCGCGCGCCGCGGACGCTCAGGCCTCTCCTGGGGGCTCTCTGGCTCCCCAGGACACCCCCGCAGCATCCCGGCGCAGCCCCGGGGCCTGTGGGTGCACCCGGGCCTCCGCCGTCGGGCAGGGCCGGCCTGGACTCGGGGACCAGCGCCCCGTCAGACCCCGCCCCGGGACCCCAGTCCCCGGCCTCGTCGCGGGCATCGAAGCGCGTCAGCCTGCGGCTGGGCCCGCTCCGAGGACGCGAGCGCAGCCCGGAGTTGAAGGCTTGCCTGGCTTTCGCGGTCACAGTGACCTGGCCCGGCCTCTCTTCCAAGCAGCGGCTGCACGTCCGTGTCGGCGGAGAGCTCGCGAGCGAAAACGCTCAACTACCTGTGAAGGGTCCGAGAGCGAGGGAGCGAGGGGCTATACTCAGTATAGTTTTATTTTATTTTTTAGGATTTATTTACTTATACAAGCACTGGGTACAGGCAGAAGCGCGGGAGGGTGAGAGAATCCACCAGAGCCAGAGCGGGGAGCAGAGCAGGCAGAAGGACCGAAGTACACTGCTGAGGGGAGCAGCGGGCGGCAGGAGAGGTCTTGTGCCATGTGGGACCCTCCTCCGGTGGCCGGGGAGCAGCCGGGGATCGAACCGGCGATGCAGAGGCTGTGGGCAGCTTCGCAACCCGGCGCTCAACCGCTGCGCCACCAGGGGAGGCCCAAACTCACACTTTTAAAGTAGACCCGCAATGATTGTTGTTAGAGTGACAGGCAACCACCACCACGGTCAAGTTCAGAACATAGTCAACACCTAGAGACAAGTGTACCTACTGGTCTCGCCCGTTCCCGTTAGCAGTCACCCCCCAACCAGGCCCCGGGTCTGCTAACCTACTTTCCGTTTCTACAGACTTGCTTGTTCTGGACACTGACACCAGGAAGAGCTTTTGCTTCTTATTCCTTCACTCATCTACTAGTGCAAGCGTCGCCTGGATGCTCTCTGCTACACTCACTCTTTGAAGCTTCAGTTGCCCCAGACTTGGCAGCTGGGAGCCCCTTCCAAGTGTCCGCGCTGTCATTTCATGCCCTTTTGACCTCTGACCCTTCTTTTGCAGGCACAGCCAGATGCACAGGCCTCGGATCCGGAGCAGTCGTTTCTACGAGGAATGCTGGTTTCTTTTAGAGAGGAGTGGTCTTTAGAAACCATGCTCTGGTGCCCAATGTGCTCACTGCTGCCGGGTATCGTGGTGTCTAGATAGTCCCTGGAAACAGGGCTAGGATGTGCATGTGTGGCCTCTGCACTTACACACAGCTCATTTATCGTCTACCTTTATCTTCTACCTATCTTCTACCTAGAAACACAGATGGGCGGGTAGATAGAGAGATAGAGAGAGACTGATATAGGTAAATAGAGTAGACAGGTAGATAGGTAAATAGAAGGATAGAGATAGACAGATAGATACACAGATAATAGATTGAACATGAGATGATGATCCCAATACCCCTAATCCCAATCTAGCACCTCTGGGTTTTTTTCCAGCTTTCCCTCCTTCCACAATTAAAAATTCCTTCTCACTCGAGAGTCTGGTTACTGTTATTATCATTTGCTCCCTCCCTGCTCCTTCTGCATGCTGTCCCCAGCCTGCAGGGTACCGGCTTGACCCTCTGGTCTTCCCACTCAGTGATTGCTGCTGCTGAGCCCTCCTCAGCTCTCTGATCTTTATCATAGTGGCCCTCAAGCCTGGCACACCTCAGAGTTCCTCTTTCTTTCATGTCTCTAACACTGGACACATCGCACCAGCTCAGGCTCCCCTCACTGACTGTGCCATCTGGGCTCACCACCAGGCACATGTTTAAAAATTTCTCTGCCTCCCTGGACCAGGGGAGGTCTGTGCGCTGCCTGCCACCCGCGATGGTGTCATTGCCAGCCAGGTGGCGGATGATTCCATTCCCATAGATATCCTACTGTCTGGTTTTGGGGGGTTTTTTTTGGACCAGTCCACTTCCGGTACCAGCTGTCCCAGGTTGGATTCTCCAGGAAGCAGACCAGGAAGCAGATGGGCAGGCAGGTGTGTGGAGAGGGTTGCTGTTGGGAAGGCGAGGAAGCAGAACTGGGCAGAGGGGGAGGTTGAATTTCACATCACGCATCTCTCTCCTGCCGAGGCCCATTCCCACAGGGACAGACAGCTGAGGCCAGTCTGCCGGCAGCATTTCCAGCAGCTGGGGCATAAGTGCTTTCATTTATCTCGAAGGATAATAAAAGGAGGAGGATCTGGAAACTGCAGCACAGGGTTGACCAGAAAACCACCAGGGCTTCTCTGTCACCATCACAGGCAAACCGTCTTGCTTCAACTTTAGTCGAGTCTCGCACCTGAAAATCATGAACGATGCTGGGGTTATTGGACTTGTGTGAATGTTGTTTGACACTGAGCTAGTGATCCCACATGGTTCCTAGTTACTTTTTCTTTCTTATGCTTTAGCTTCTCTCTATAGCTTCTGGCTGCTTTGACTGCAATTGGAAGAAACATTGTCAGTGTCCAAGCTCTGCACATAATCACTATCCTACTGGAGCCCTCCCTGTCTTCTGGGGCTCTCAGTCCCGGGGCCTGCCATGCGTCGTCCACCTTAATCTGGATGAGCTGCAGTTCCAATTTGGCTGCTCACATGTCACCATGGGCCTCTCTTTCCTGCTTGCCTGGGTTCCATGTTTAAAACCCTTCTTAGTTTATGCCTCGGTTTGGCTGACTTTCTCCCAAAGAAAAAGAGACAAGTGCTAACCATCTGAAAAACATGTCTCTATTTGACAATCTCATCTGGTTGGTGATTTGCCTGGATATAGAATTTTGAGTTGAAAACAAGTTTTTCATCAGGAATGTAAAGCTGTTGTTCCCATGTCTGCTTGAAATGGATTCTGATCCAACATTTACTCAACAAACATCCCATGCACTGTCTGGACACTGGAGATAGGATATTGAACAAGACAAGGGCCCTTCTATCATGGAGGAGACAGATCATAAACAAGACCAAAAATGAACAGTAAGACTTGGTGATGACAGGTGCGATGAAGAATTTAAATCAGGCGCAGGGGTAAGTGCTGACCGAAGAGTGCTATTTTAGAGGTGCTGGCCAGGGGCACCTCCTCTGAAGAGGTGACATTTGAGATGGGGCTGGAATCATGAGGAGGGATGAGTCATGCAAAGATGCAGGGTACTCATAGCCTAGAAAAGTTTTTTTTTTTTTTTTAAAGATTTATTTATTTATTTATACAAGCACTGCCTACAGTCAGAAGCGCGGGAGGGTGAGAGAACCCACCAGAGCCAGAGTGGGGGACAGAACAGGCAGACTGACGAAACACACTGCTGAGAGGAGCAGTGGGCGGGCAGGAGAGGTCTGTGCACCATGTGGGACCCTTGCCGACGGCTGGGGATTGAACCAGCACTGCAGAGGCTTCGGGCAGCCCTGCAGCCCAGTGCTCAACTGCTGCGCCACCAGGGGAGACCCCTGGAAAAGGTTTTGAGGATAAAATAATTCTTGCACAGTCAAGAAACTTCAGTGGCATGGGGCTGGGGGAGGCTGGATAAAAGATGTCAATTATTTGGTGAAGTGTAGAATTGGACTTTTAGTGGTGAGCTCAATGTAGCCTATACTCCTGTCTGTGCCTAATGATGCACTCCTGGTAGTTACATCCTGCTCTACTGTGGTGTTGCTGGAATAACAATTAAAAAGGACCGCAGGAGAGCCCTTGGAGCACGGGCCACGAGATACGGTGTCAGAAAATGAGCTTGGCTCTGAGCCACCTCACTTTGCAAGTGACCCATTCTGCTCTGTGTCTGGAAACATCTTCGATGGGTGGCGGGTTGGAGGCAGCCATGAGTCTTTGACCGTCCGCCCACCAAGAGAGGATTCCTCTCCCCTCTCATCTGGGCTCTGGTCCCCAAGCGCAGAACACAGCGGAAGTGACCCTGTGACAACGTCTGGGTCCAAGCCTTCAGGGATTGGAACATTGCCCTTCCTGTCTCCAGGAACCCGCCCTCCAGGCTGCAAGAAACTGAAGACCTAGGGAGGGGGCACAGAGGAGCTCCAAAGCCTGAGTTCCCCACCACCATGTGAGCGGGCATGTGGGGTGCCCACACTGTGGGGCCTTCAGAGAACCCAAACCCCCACTCCAGTGCCTCTGCAGCACCACAGAGCCCACTCCCAATGTGAGGACCCGTGGAGGAGCTCCGCCAAGTCACAGAATTGGAAGAGGGATTTTTATTACTGTGCCAGGGACCTCCTGGGCCCTTGCAATCTGAGAATTCACCTCCTTGGAAAACTGCTACTTTGGTCATCCCTTCCGTCCACTGTTGTGTCTCCAACTCCTGCGGATCGGCTGCGGGACCTCAGGGGTGGATTCCCGAAGCCTCTGTGTTTTTGCATGTTTTAAATCTCTCTTTAATTCTATTATTTGAGATATTCAAGTTTGCCTTCAGCCTTCTATGAGTTGTTTTAGTTCAAAATAGATGGGGGCTTTGGACTTTGGGTTCTGCTTCTGTCGGCTTGGGGGCATTGGGAAGGATTGGGCGAGGATTTGCCCAATTTACCTCTATTTTTAGTTTTCAGTCCGTTTTGCTCCTTCCATGGTTCCTGGTATTTGGAGCCTTTCTTGGGTCTGCAGGGAGATTGGATCTTGTTTGGGCCACAGACCCAAGCCCCCACCACCCTCTTACCCCACTTGTAGGCTGAGGTTCCTCTGCTTATTCCCCTGAGCCAGACCCCAGTCTATTTCCCGGTTTCCATAAACAGAGCCCTCTCTCGTCATTGGCTATTGAAGGTCCCAACAAACTTTATTTTTCAGTTCCTCTGCTATCATTT